AATCTTGTTGTTGATTCATAATTGAAAAAAGATCTGTGTTCTATAAAGTTCTATTGATATTTGTGTATCAATTTTAATATTATATAATGGTGTTTCATAATATATATGATTTGTTAATACACATGTATTTAAACTAAAATGATGTGATGGTCCAAAAGGAAAAATACGATTAATATATTTATAAGCATAAGCAGCTGTTGATCCACTATGATTATATCCGGCATGTAGTGCAATAATAGCTCGTATATTTGATTGATCATTTATGTTATGAGTTACTTGTTCAAGCTATGTTGCTAATTACTGATTAAGATAATTTCTATCGGCTATATATCAACTTCCAGCATGTAATGCTTCACGAAATGAATTTGATGACATCTGAAAATGAATATTAATTTGTTTTGAAACTTTGAAAGAAAAAAAATGTTTAACTAATATTTAAATATTTAAAAGTGAAAGATATTGTAAAAAAGATTTGATTGAAAATATTAAATCATACATGAATTCAAATTCTTAAAGATAACGAATTTCGAAGATTCTATTTCTTATTCGATGAATTTTTGTAAGAGAATAATGACTAGTGTAATGAAAATTCACTAGAACCAATCTATATGCTTTTTTTTGAAAAAACTTAATAATTACAAATATTACGAAGATCTTATACGAAAGTAAATTTTTTGAATAAATACTAGCTAGTGAACATCTTTAGTTTTCGACCTTATATTAAGAATTACGAATAGGGCTTGATGAGACAGAGACAAATCGAGAAGAAGTCGAGTACATGACTTGTCTCGAAGAGAAAGTAATAGACTTTTTTTTTCATTATTTTCGAAACTATTCAAAAAAAGAAAAATTGAGATAATATAATAAAAGAACTCTTTCTTTTCGGTCTACAAAATAATCAAATTTTCATTTAAGTAAACCATAGGGTTGAATACTTTTAGAATTATCATAGTCTCATCAAATCATGTTTATAGGTTAAATGATGATTGATAGTTAGCAATGTTCTCTAGTAAGATGTTTATTATTTTACAGAATTTCTTTTTCAAAAAAAAAGTAATTAATAATTTATTCTAAAAATTTTACGATAGATATATCTCAATGAGTAGAACAAAAGTTGTCATAGACTCCAAATACTTGTATCTAGGAAATATCTGAGTCGCAAACGCTGAAAATCATCCCGCTTTCTCAGCCATAATTAGTTCGATAAAGCTGGAATTTTCTATTTACAGATACTAGACACTATTTTTTGTGTAAAAATTGGTTTCGAGAAAAATAAAAGAAAGCAAATTCTCCCGTATGTATCAGGACTTTTATCTTCTACTAAAATGATCGAAAACTAGTGGTGTGAAAGATTCACGATCTCAGCACCTTTGGCATGAGAAATAATCATTATCATCATTAGGAGAGTTTTGCATATGAAGAATAATTGCAACGGGAATTTTTCTGCTAGGAATTTCGAGAGTTTGATTGAATAGAAGCACTAACTAAGAACGAACAGCCTCATTCATATAACATTTGAAAGAAAACATTTCGAAGCTAAACTAGCGATGAAAAACCAAAAATCGAAAAAAGTTATACTCACATCCAGAAAGGTAAAAAAGGATCAACGTAAACTTTTGAATAGCAACCGCAAGCATCGTATCAGAATATAATAGTATTCCGAAGAGACAAACATAAATTTATATCCATATTCTCTTTATTTATGATTAAAAACATGCAATTTATAGACAACCATCCAAAACTTTCATTTGTTTTTCTTTTAAACGAAAAAAAAAACTGTTCCTTGTCTTACAATATTGCAATCGTTGTCAACACAAAAACAAAGAAAAATTCTTTACAATGACAAAAATACTAGATCAAAAGACATATAATTTATGACTAATAATCATCACCTCGACTGACAACTTCTTTACATGTAGGTCTTAATATTATTGTATGTTCAAATTGTGCTGTATAACAGCCTTTTATGTCACATAATGGTGGATATGGATTAACAACATTAGCATCCACAAGACTTTTTAATGCCAATAAATATTTACTTTCACCTAAACGATCTAACCATCGGCGACAAAAAGCTAATGTACCAAAATTTTTTGTTATTGTATTATATAATTGTTTAGATTTAGCATTTCTAATAAATTAAAATTAAATAAATTAATGAACATTTTTTTTTCTTTTTAATATTTTATTACCGAACTGAAGCTTGTTCAACATGAAAATTTTTCATATAATGTGATACTTCCATATCATCATGAACTAAACCTTTACCTGTGCTACCGAATGTTTCAATTGCATATATTTCACCTTCCTAAAATTCAAATAATAATAATTATAAATATAAATATTTTACTTCATAATGAAATTATATTACCTCCATACGAACTGCTTCACCTCCTTTAACTATAGGTATTGATTTACCAGCATGAATATGATATTGTCCAATAAGATGACCTTGAAGATTACGAATGGATTTAACTAAAAATCACAAGAAAATATTATGTATGACATTTGGTTTATGAACTACTTGAATAGTTAATATTTAATTGCTAAAGTATCATTCATTAACCCTTTAAGTACCAGCGTCCTGAATTCAGGACACGTTTTTTAAGCATCTTATTTTTTGAATAGCTCGCGAACGCAAAACGATATCGAGGTGCGGTTTTTACTATGACATAGAAGACACTTTGATACATATATCCAAATACGAATCATAACACTAATAAGGTTAGTCAGGCAGTAAATCTGATGAGTTTGTGAAAGGCCATCAATACATCATTATAGAAATTATATTAAAAGTCAAGACATAATTATAACTGAATGAAATTGATCTCAACCAACCAATAGATAGCTATAGCTACATAGAATCGACGTAGCTAGTGGCAAACTATCATAATCTGTACTGTATAGGTGTCAGTATACGTATTCTAAACCCTTAAGTACCAGCGTCCTGAATAAAGGACACTTTTTTAGCATTTTAATTTTTGAATAACTCGCGAACGCGAAATGATATCGAAGTGTCGCTTTCACTATGACATAGAAGAGATTTCGGTACATACATCTACATAAGACTTATAACCCTAATGATGTCACTCAGGTAGTAAACTTGATGGGTTTTTGGAACGCTACCCCTATTCTAAACAGAAGGAAGACGGATAATATCCTTTTGCGGTCCTCAAAATGTTTCAGTTTTTCATGTTGGAATCAAGTTAGGAGGAACTCTTAATGATATTCCAAAGGTTGATTTGGCCGCAGCTCTCAATCGAATTTTGACTCGAACCCGTACCTCCCCCACAGGGAAGCCAAAATACTTCTTCTCCATTCCCGTGGGAAGTACAAGCATGGGCCGAAAACGACTTTAAAGATTTTTTTTAAATTTTCATGAAAATATTAATACTGCACTATGAGTGTCTTAACTATGATAACTTATAGAAATTTCTCTCACAGGCAGAGTTATGATACTTAAAGGGTTAAACAAATTAAATTCATTTATTTTATAGTTTATATCGAAATGATAGAGAATGAATATAAGCAGAACTAGTCTAGAAAGTTTCGTTTTGCTATTGATATAGATTCAATAGCTGTTGAATGCTGATCTAATTCTGTCTAAGCAATACAAAGTAATATCAATATTATCTAAGACAGAAATGTGCACTACAACTGATGTACATTCTTTTAATAGCTGGTATGATTAAGGCGCTATCGATGCATATTTTTGAACTAGTATTTTATGTATAAAGTTTCATATGAGTAAGATCTGTTATTACAAAAAGAAATTCATTAATAAATATGCACATCAGATAGAAATCATAAATACTGCTTTGTATCTCTAAGAAAGTGTGTCTATTTATAGGTTCATAAATTTTTAATAATCATATGTTGGATACAAAATAAATTTATACTCGGTAGAGCTGAGACACTATCAAAATGAAAGATTGAATTCAAATCGAAGATATTTCTTTTTCAGTTTATTCAAGATTTTCTTATGATAGTAAATCATACATTTGTTTGCATTAAAATAGATCAATCTCTATTATCTTTGTTATATATTCATTTTCATCATAGAAATAGAGATAACTAGCACTAGTTTTTTTTTAAATTAAAAAAAACGAAAAATGTCATAATAAACATTTCAAGACTTTCATTAATATAATTAATTATAAATATATTGTTATCATTTCTAAACATGAAGAAAGTTCTACTTGACTCCAAAAGTTCATAGAAACTTACAATAGCCACTATCCTTCTTTAATTAGTATAATTTTATATATTCAATGATGTCAAATCTTCGTTTTTTTTTCTTATCTCTACGTACTAGGATAGAGTTTTCCATCAAGTTCAATTTCATGACTTTCCATTACTTCTTGAATTGCTTCACCAATATCACATAAACGAACATCAATACCCGCTGTCTAAAAGAAAAAGAATCAACCAAAAAACAAAAAATAGATTATAAACAAAGAAAAAAAAAACTTATAGTTCACTCCTATTACTTGTATTCCTGTATTTGTTGCTTCTCGAACAGCTTTAAGTAATTCATCATATTTCGAATTAAATGCTATTGTCCATGCACAATCAATAATTCGTCCATTAATATGTGTACCAAAATCAATTTTACATACATCATCATATTGAAGAATAGTATTATCACCATTATTTGGTGTATAATGAGCAGCACAATTATTTAATGAACAACCTTATTAAAAAATAATTTTTCAAAATAATAAATAAAGAAACCAATTAAATTATACCTGTTGGAAAAGCTAAACCAGCTTCAAGACCTTTTTCTTTAATTAATCTTCGATTCATATTTTCTAATCGTTCACTAATTGAAATTAAAAAACAAAAAAAAAAACGAATCCTAATAAACCTTTTTTAATATTAATAAATAAATTTACCAAATATCAATCATTTTCATGCCAGGTTCAATCCAACTCATAACCCATTTTCGAGTTTGTCTATGACATTCAGCTGCTTGTCGTAATTCTCGATAGATTTCTATTTGAGTCATATCAAGCATACGTTTTTCTTCATTTGTCATACGATTAATTGCAAGCGATCTATTTACATATAAAACTTGTATTTTACAATAGTCGCAAGAAATCTCGCTATCCGATAAAAAGTGCATAAACTTCAATCCTTTTGCTTGATATTTCAATTACAAATTGAGTTCGATAAACCCTAATTACAAGTAACAACCCGAGATTGGTAAGCCTTAAATTATGACGAAAACACTCGTTCTTTTTTTGGAGTCTAAAAAAAGACTTCTCTAGTTTTCCACTATTTAAATACATTAAGATCCAGTTTTCTATTAATAAATAAAGATTCACATGTCTATATTGTATCATAGATAAGATACTTCAATTCTCTGCAATCGT